GGGGAGAAAGGAGGCAGTATTGGAATATGGTGCTCCTTGTCACTTTGAGAAATGTATGCAATGTAACTCCCACTGCTTGGCTGGTACTCCTGTGCCTGTACCCAGGCTTCCCACCCCATATAGCGCTCACTACTCCAGTACAATGCTAAAAGAGAAGGGGGGGGGAAGAGGGGGAAAGTTGGAGGCCCAAAGCAAAGAGAGTTTCCCCTCACCTGAATGACAAAGCAGCAGGCAGCAGAAAGCTGTCAACACCCAGTTCTGGAGCGAGCAGCTCATAATGCCTTCATAATCGGAACCAGAGTTGGCACCAGCTGGTCTGGCATGCGAGGGAGGCAGATTGTGGTGCCCTTTCTTCGTTTTCTTTTGCTTTGCATTGAAAGTCTGGGATCCTCACTGGTCCTTGCCTTGCCTCTCCTTGCTTCTCCTCTTTGCTCTCCCTTCTGGATTATTGCTGAGAAAGAGAAGGGTGGAAGAAGAGGAGTGGAGGAAAAGCATTCAGAGCAGGCGACGAGAGTCTTTTGCAGAGGCAAATCAGAACCAGGAAAGAGTTGGAAACGCGCAGGGGAGAGACAGAAATTTCTTCCTTCTGGTTATGCAGTGATGGATAGAAGAGCCTAACATGATGTGAGGGAGAGCTGTGGACAATTGGGGTGGGGGAAGCAAGGGAGAAATGGGACACGTGAGCTACAAAGATCCCTCCTCCTGCCTTTTTAGCATGGAAGAGCCGTCTCTGGTGCTCGCTCGCTTGCTCGCTCTCCAGCTTCATACACAGACTTTTTGTATGGACAAGCATGAGAGAAGGCAGTAAAACCTGCAAAAGGAGAAACGACTCATACACATAAATCAGCCTCCTCCATGCATGCATACAGATGAATCAGGCCCTTATGCTGACAATCAGTCAAATCAGAATAAAATGTACTAGTAAATCATGGATAGAAACATTGGTCAATTATATAATAAGGAGCCACCAACTTTGGAGATTGGCCAGATAATTGGTTTTACTGAAGCTATGAATTTAATGTCAGAGATTTTGACTCCAAAAATGTGCAGAATGCCTTCTACTATTACTAGATAGCACATAGATTATGCTTAAATCCATCCCCTTTACTCAGCCCAGGAGATTAAGCCTGACCCATTTAGAAGAAATTAAGTCGTATTTAATAAGTCATTCCAAGCCAACTAGTGATGTGCAATCTCGTGTAGGTATCACATCTATAGAGAGGGCAATCTAAAACAAACTGATCAGCAAACGTGGCGCACCATGAATGGATGTGCATAAGGTACTATACCATGTATTCCATTCACATGCTTGAGTCACCAGCAACTACAGGTAGTCCTCGCCTTATGTCCATTCATTCAACGACCATTCAAAGTTATGGCAGAGGTGAAAACATGGATGTACTAGTCCTCAAAGTTCTGGTTGTCACAGCAACCCCGCAGTCATGTGACCATGATCAAGGCGCTCATGTGCTTGGCTTGTGATTATGTCACAAGAAGCCACAGTCACATGATCGCCATTTGCAACCTCTCCTGCCGGCTTCCCACATCCAAACTCAGTGGGGAAGCTGGCAGGGAAGTTTGCTCCCACTTTTTCTCCCGCCTGCAGCACTCCCCCACCCATGCCGTTTCCACCAGCCTCCCAGACCCTCCTCTGCCTTCTGCAACCCTCATGCAAGCTTGTGCCAGCCCTCCCTGTCCCTCCCCCAGTCTTCCCCACCCCCCATGGCACCCCTGCACTCCTTACCTGGGACTACCTCTTCCCATTTAACAACCCATGCGTCTTGGGATTATGACAGCAACTGGGATTGCCATTGCTAAGCGATGCAGTCGTGTGACATCGCACTTTACGACTGCGTCACTTAATGATGGCAATCCCAGTTCCAGTTGCTGTCATAACCTGAGGACTACTTGTATTTGCTGTCTCTGAAAGGTACATCTTCTGGAGGGCACCTGCTTGTGGTTTCCCTGGTCAAGATTTTGGAAGTTGGGAATGTGATGTGCTTTGCAGGGATGGGGGGAGATTATAGGGCATACTACAAAATAGTGTTAAGTACTTTCTGATACAATTCATTAGCTATAAAACCCACTTTAGTAAGTGTGGTAGTGGACTGATATAGGCAGATAAACTGAGGGCATGTTCCTGGTCTGTCCTTCAACCTTTTGATAGTGCCCAAGCTCTAAAATAACTGGTGCAATTTGTTCTTTTGTGTAATTATCTCTCCCTACCTTTACCCCTATTATACTTTCCCTATTATTCCTATTATACTTTCTAAATTCTCTCCATGACCACCCCATCCAGGCCTTTTCCATCATAAAATACTAAGTCCCCAAACACAGTAGATTGTTTTATGATTAGTTAAAGTAGAGGTCATACAATTTAAGTCATGGTTCTCATGTTCCTTCTGAATGAGCCAAAGCTTTTCTTGCAATCAGTAGATTAGTCTGAATAATCTGCATATAATATAAACTAGCCTGAAGATTTTATCAAGCTAGGTGTTGTCCATCAGTCATATCTGGATATGAATGAGTAAAACAGGACAGGAGCATCAACCATTTTCCAGGTCACTGTAGAGCATTGCTGGATTTATTTTGCTCTAGCACTTATTGTATAAAGTGTGCACTTTCTCCATATGACCAAGAATGTGAAGGCAAAAGCTTTATCTAGATAGAAAAACTAAGGCATCGCTTTGAGCTTTTATTAAAAGATATACTTGATGGAAATAAGACAAGTATGCCTCTGCCCACAGGACTATGACTTTTCTCTCACGTCTGGTTAAAGCCACAATATGGTTGCTTTTACACTAGTCTGGAATTCTTCTTTTATTAACACAAATTTTGTAAAGGATGCAAACATTGACCATCTGTTAGATTATAATGATTTCTGTGTTATCATCCCATTTTTAAAAGCCTTTTAGGATAATTTCCTCCACTTATAATACATGTTGCAGTATCAACCTGTTTAAGGTGGATCAAGAAGACGCTATAGAGAATTTTCAGGTCTCCTAGTTTTAATCTTTTCCCTGTAATTCTTTTCAGTTTGGAAACTAGATTTAATTATCTTTTACCTTGTAAATACCTGGTCTTTGGAAAAGAGTGAATGAGTTTTCAGTTGCTTCTATTCATTAATAGTACTACTCTTGCCATTTTTATTATTTATTATGTCACCAATCCCATTTGAAAATTAAAATTCATGGGAGAAAAGTCTTTACTGTGAAGAACACAAATGAATAAAGATATAGTTGGTAATGCTACAGTGGCACTGTTCAGAATGCAATCAGAAACAGAAGCTATAAATGGAAGCTTCTGGTAAAAGTTGCTGAACATTTCCAGATACTAAACCAGAAGTGACATGCATCTCAAATATATGCTTTCTCTGTTTACATATAAGAGAAGAATGGGTTTGAGGTGTCCTCATTAAGCCAAAAGAAACACGGGGGCAGGGGGCGCAGGCAAGAAATTCACCTTGCTACACTTTCATTTAACCAAGTATCATTTTAGAGTGATGCGTGCACCCAATCATGAAATATAACGTGGAATCACCATTTTAACTTCTCATACAGCTGTAAATCAAAAAGCAATGTCTCTACCATGCCAAAGCTTCTGTGTGTGGAAGCAAGTGCAAACTGAGTCTCCAGTAGCAGAAAAGAAGGTTTCCAGAATACAGGCTGCCAGTATACTTATGATTCTATACCACTCATAAGAAAAAGATATGAAGCTTAATAAAGGAAAAAGGGTTCTTCAAGCATTAACAACTGACTTAAATAACAGTCCTGCAAGAAGTGTTTTTTTGTTATTTTTAAAAGCACCCTAAGAAATTTTAGGTGCTTCATTAGTAAAATTACCTTTACTAGTCTTCTGTGCATACACATTTTGCTTTTCATGTAATTTAGACTGGCTGCAATAGATACACAGAGCAGGGTAGAAAAGAACAAAGATTCTAATCATCTCTCCATCCCCACAGCTATAGTGATATACATAAACTAAGTTTATATAAGAAAATACATTCAGTTATATTTATTTTTTAAAAGAAGCTGCTAAAGAAGAAAAACATCAGTCATTAAAGAAAACACATTGATATGCAGACACAAAAATGCTTGTAGAACTTGGAAAGGATGGGCAACTGAGATTAGATCACTGCAAAATGTATCAGCAGCTTTGCTACTCCCACTTCCCTCTATTAAAAGGCCCAGAGACGTAGCTGTCGCAGAGAGGGACAGGAGAGAGCATCATCTTGCTCTACGTCAACCGGGTTGATTAGTGAAAGTGAGCACTCAGAATCTCACCATCCCTTTACTGCTGTTCACAAGCTCTTATGCTGGTTTGACCTCCTTAACCTAGTGCTGTTTCTTAAAGCTGAGAAGAAGGAAGATTATTACTGTAACTGCTTCTTTTTCCATAAATGCATAAGGCTACACTCCGCTTTTTCCCATCAGGACATCCAATTAGGACGTAACAATTTAAACAGAGGTATCTATATAGATGAACATTCTTGCTTGAATTCTGAAAAGGCTCAAACTTGTCGTCTCTCTCTCTCTCTCTCTCTCTCACCCAAAGATATTTTGGGGTCTTTGGGTTAAAGAAATGCAGCATGCACTCAAATGAGCCCACACAGGATGGCAAATGGCTTCTTCTTGCAACGGAGGTAGAGAAACTCAGGATCTTACATGGAAACTTTACATATGTGCAGGAAAACAGGCAGCCAGAAGATGACAAGAAAAGTCTAACTTGGGCCATTTTTCAGGCAACTCCCAACTTGAGCAAAGGGAGCCCTTTCTATCTCCAGCTGGTTGCTCTGCTCATTTGAGCTGTTCCTGCTCAGATGTTGGCCAGAGGACAGAACAAAGATGGGATTCATAGTTACTATCTTGCAAGCTGACACAGGTCCCCAGCAGTGCAGCATCAATCGGGTTCTCAGAAGAGAGGTGGGAGGCACCTGCAAGCACACAAAGAAGCGGCCCATCCCATTCAGACATGGAGGAAGAGCTCTTTGCTTCTGCAGAAATACTAGTCAGTGGGTAGGAAAGGAGAGGTAGGCAGGGGCTGGGCCCTGGGCCTGGTTGCTGTGGCAACATATTCTGTGCTAGCTCAGATACATCCATGCAAGGTGAACAGCGCTCAAATACAGAGCCCACCAATTTGGGGGCTACTTGCTTGTCCTCATGGAATCCAGATAAGCTGCTCGATGTACTATCAGTGTTGGAAAAGTTGCAAGAACTGTGCATGTCCCATTCTTTACAGGGAGAGGTTGCAGACACCTCCTTCTGGTCTAGCTGTTGCACTGGATTTTTGAGATAGCTTGTGTCTATAGCAACAGGCTTGCAAGACTGACAGTGGAGGACTTTCTGAAGTATTTGTGGGGGAACACAATAAGAGCCAGGGGTGTATGATGGAACTGCAGGCAAATCGAGTTGATGAGGAAATGAGTGTCCTGTTGTTCCAACTTGTTGGCTTGCAGAGAGCAATTTCTTATCAGACAGCCTTTTATTTGATGTCAATGTTCGCTTCTTTTTTACCTGTCCATATTGCCCATACGGGTGCTTGCGTTTGCAAGGGAGCATACCAGATCGTGTTGGGAGCTTCCCTTCCTGAGGAGCAACACCAAATTTGAGTTTAACAGGAGCTACAGTCTTCGAGAAACTGTCTGCAACCTCTCTGCCTTTTTCATGGGTCTCAGAGGCAGACCATAAAGATTGCAAGGCAACTGGTACAGATGCAGTGGGTATCTCCATGGGCTTCACTGTCAGATGAAGGAGATCTTGGTCCTTAAGGAAGCATGGTGGATCCTCCAAGCTAGCAAGATGACCTGCTGAGCCCTCAAAAAGCATGTGACTTTCCATTACCTGACCTGAAAATGGTACTTTGGCATGTCCAGCAGCCTCCATTTCAAATTCAGAAGAAACACCATTGCATATGCTGAAAAGAAAAGAGGAAGATATCAATATAGTGCTTTCAGCTATCGAAGTGTGTTGCACTGTAACAAAAATAGCACTTAGCTACTACACATATCAGCAAGACCTTCTTCCCACTGGGTTTCAGCTAGGCATTATCATGGAGAAAATCTATCTATGTGGTCACTAGGAGTCAAAAACAACTTGATACCACATAATCAATTAATCAATCAATCAATCAATCAATCAATCAATCAATCATACTCCTCTAGTCCTGTTTTACAACTCTTTCCATACAATCTTCATTGTGTTTACTAACATATATATCTGATTATATATAGAAAAGCTTACTTCACATAAGTACACAGGATTTAAGTACTAATACACTTTATTGTGTGGGCATCTTGCAAACACAAATAGACCGACCTTAGGCTGAGTGCCTACCTTAGAAAACAGATGCTTGGGGGGAAGAACTACAAGTAGCTTCTCAATAATTTCTCATGAGCTTTCCAGTTGTTCTCTGCTGCAGAATAGCGCTACATATGTTATGCTACCAGTTCTGAGCCTCCCTCTTGAAATATAATGGAGGATGCCGTCTCAACACCTGGACTGAATAAGATTCTTCTGCTTAGGCAGGCATCTTCCATACATGAAGCATGTATGTATGGTTCTTGTTTTTTGCCTCAGGTAGCAAAATGTTCTGTCTCGTCTCTAACAAACATCTAGCAAAAGCTTCTTAATAATTCCAACATCTTATAGTTGTATTCCCCTACATCTGAATATGGAGGTTTAGTCTCTTATTGTTCCTCACCCAAACAAAAACAATTTACGCAGAAACTCAGTCACCTATTGGCAAAGCAGTATATCCTTTGTATGGGTTTTTTGAAGTGTGAAAGTATGACTTTCTTCCCTTCTTAAGAATGAATAGCCATTCTTAACATCAGGGTTTTCCAAGCTGAAATTAATCTCTTTACTCCCTATACCTCAAGATGGCACTGCATGCCTGCTCTCAACTCAACTAATATTCAATTGGTAAGAAACAGGGCCTACTCAGAGATGGCCCTACAATTAGGAAATTGAAATTTGTTAAACTCTTCCCTTCCTCTTTCTGGACAAGTTTTAAAGGCCTTTTGAAGGCTTATAAAAATGGAGAGGGGGATTTTTTTTAAGTGGGCTTCTACTTTAAAAACATCAAGTAATAATCATTGCATTGACTTGACATAATTTCTTGCTAGAGATCCACTCTTGTCTGTCTCTCTCTTCTGCCTAAAAGTTTTGCTGGTTTCAGCAAAAAATCTGAGGAAAGCAGGCAGAAAAAAAATCTCCAGTAAACAAATGGGAGTCAGGAATTCTCATTCTTTGAAACAGAATTAGATGCTCTTCTCCTCTACCTGTGGATCATACCTCAGCAGTGGAGTGCAGGAGGCCACAAAGTCATTGCTGAATTGGGAGATGATGCTGTCTAATAAAGCATAATGGGACGGATCCAGCACAAATTCTTGATGTTGCGAGCTTTGAAGATGCTGTGAAGACAAGACAGTGCCATCAGAGGGTATAACGCAATGAGAGAAATTTGAAGACAGGAAAGAAAACAAGAATATTAAACCAAAGTGTGGGGAAAAAAACCTTGCTCCATCCTGTTCAATCTATCACCCAGGCAAAGGAAGGAAAATTCTCCTGTGAACTGGCAGGTAGAATGACATGAGCTCTGGAACGTAACCGACAAAGCAAAGCAGTTGAACAGGCTACAGAAAATAAGGCAAGAGCTGAATCAAAAGTAGAATTAGGTTTAAAGTACCCAATGGCATTTATTCAGGACAATATGTAAAAATGGGTCTGGTTTTCAGGTTTCATTCTGTTACCAGGAGGTCCAGCAGCTCATTCTGCTTGAGGAATGTAAAGCCACAAAATCCCAAAGAAACTACCAGATTCTGCAATTTCTGGAGAGATACTCAGAGATAGGCTCCCACCAGCACTCAGTATAGTTCTACCTCAGTTAAGCCTACACTATTAAGTGAGGGAGCATGCAGAGCTGCGTATATTAAGTTTGTATGACAGCACAAGAAAAACATAGAACATACAGTACACCTTTTACTCTATCAGCCTGCCTGCACCCTAAGACTGATTGAGAGGCCCTTCTTTATATTCCAATTGTACTGGAGGGACAGTTGATGAGGACAAGAGAAAGATCCTTCTTGGTGGCCACACCTAAATGATGGAGTTTCCTGCCTCAGGAGGCTCTGCTGCCACCTCTTTGATGGCTTTTCACCAATTAGTTGAAAGCTTGGTTAGGAAAGAGAATAATTTTTATCCAGTGTTTTATTTCAGCTATAAGTAGTCCTTGACTTACAACCATAATTGGAACTGGAATTTCTGTCGCTAAGCGATGGGGTCTTAAAGCAAGACACATGCAGAGAGCTGGGAGAGATGGGAGCTGGGCAAACATGCTTCCTGGAGCAGCTTCGGGTGGCTTCACATGGCTTGGCTGGGATGGCTGCCGCTTTGTGCTATGCTGCGGCTCAGGGGCTTCTTGCAGCCCCAGAGGCTGCACAGTTCTGGGGCTGCTTGCTGCCCTGCAAGGCAGAGTGCAGAGTAGCCAAAAGAGAATAGATGGGGGGCAGACAGGCGGGTGGGGAGAGTTGAAGAGCCCCTGCAGTCGTAAGTATGGGCAGGCTGCCAAGTGCCCAAATGTTTAACTAAATGTGACCGTGGGGAAGCTACAATGGCCACAACTTTGGGCAAGGGTTGTAAGTCCCTTCATTCAGTGCTGTCATACCTTTGAACTGTCACTGAACAAATGGTTGTAAGTCGAAAACCACCCGTACTGCATCTGACTGCTTTCATGATATACTGTAATGCAATTCTATGCATAAGATATTTGTAAGATATTGCTGT